CATCTATCTTCGATTATGAAAACAAAAGCGATGCGTTGATATCCCTGAGGACTAAGGTGGAATGTTCTTTTACCAGTATAAGGTTTTCTTTTTCAAGTTTTTATTTAGGATAAGGGTTACACAAGCGAGCACACAGTCCACTTGATGATTAGTGGATGCTATGGCCCATAGAAATTTACATCTATCCTCGTTTGCGAATCGAAATGCAGATGCGTTGTCAGCCGTGAGGACAAAGATGGAATGCCTCTTATTCAGTATAAGGGGTCTTCGGGTTCCGGTTGCAAAACAGCAGCATTAAGCTGTTATTTACGCTGGTATTCTGTGAGAGCGTGGTCCTTCCCCGGTCGAGCCGACCCATTCGTGCTACAACTATACAATTAATATAGCTGCAGCATGGCTCTATCACGCCTAAATGGTATATAGCCTGTGCTTGGTTATTATCCCACCTGATGGTAAACGGTGATTGCAGACGGAGATGATAAAACGCACTGACTCAGCTCGACAAAAGCCTATTCACTCTTACCTTGAAGTCATCCAAGTCATCAAATTATTTTACACATTGATGATTCCGCATGATGAACGACCTAGCAAACCGTTTGTTTCGAAACAAAGAGGTGCAGAGCGTCCGATAGTCCGATAATGGAAAGGAGAGGGAGGAATTGAGTTATGCAATTTTTGCGCACGATCTCCTAAATGTATCCTGTAAAATATCGAAAGGCTGGTTACTTTGCGCCTGTGTTTTATTCTGGTGAGATTAGCTTCTACCAGCTTGAGGTCACTTAAATCACAATTAACAACTTCATCGATAGCCGAAACTGGGTAACTCGCATACTGTCAAATTTACAGCGCTTGGCCCCTGAGATACAAAAGGCTCACAATTACAACGTCACGGAACAAAGTCACATTATCCACATGTGGGATATAATATACCATGCACAATTGATAACGTCCAGTCATTCGGAAATTATCGCTATGGTCAATAATTGCCTAGGAGCGTCGTAGTCCGACTTATTTATCTACAGGTGATTCGGCGTTCGATAACAATGTGAGAAAATAAATTATGATATTAAATATTAAGGCGATACATCGACCAAAACCTTGCGATAGTGCGTTTTTCTTCGTTATTCAGAGACTATTATCTCATTAGTTATGAGAAATAAACTATATCTAAAAGCGCATAATTAATGTTCGATATCCTGTCATCACATTCCATGTTATAATTTGTTTTTATTATGTGTTATAAATACATTTCAAATCTACTTTTAAAAAAATGACTAAAATTATTGTTTACACGCATCTTTTGCTACAGGCAACGCTCTAATCAGGATTACACTAATGGATAGATAACTTAAAAATCTATATTATTCACGTTTTATTTAATTTTTAAAGTTCGTTTTGCTTTTTTAATTAAAATTAATTCCAAAAATTGTTTGAATTCTATGATAAATGGGCGTACGCAGAGTGCGGGCGGCAGTGCACTGCATGCTCAAGGTTATTTGGTCAGAGAAACACCTTAAACCGAAACTGACCCTCTCATCTCAATCGTCCAATAAAATCAAATGTTGATCGCACAACTGAAGATTTTTTGAATGTGGTATTAAATGTATTATAAATTGTGATGATCTCCATATCAAAAGCACAAGAAACAACCTTGACTTAGATTGGACTAGATCCCGTAGTTTAATATCAGCCAAAATATAAATAAATTATCCAGGTAGATTTTTTTTTATTAAACGGAAATGACAAACGGTCTTACAGTCCACCTAAATAGGTAAGTGTATGCTGCAGTCTATTGATTTCAAACAAAGAAAGCTGCAAATAAGTCACCTCTGTGGACTAAGATGGAATGCCTCATGGCCTGTGATTATAATGGCTTTCTATACCCTAGACACAGCTGTGCAAGCACTGCTAACTATTTGTGACAGAACTAGGTAAGAGGGTGATGACTGAACCCAAATAGACTTCTAGACAGAAAAAGGTACTACCACCAGGAAAATGTAATAGTAAAAAAGCCATCTGTAGATTGTTTAATATACATTTAACACCAAATTGTTATTACTAGTTAATGAAACACCTTGAGAATGTTAAAATGATTCATCTTTTATATTGATGATCTGAATCATTGCTAGAAAAAGATTTCCTGTTTGAAATCAAATGTCTTATACTTTGCAGAAAAGTATAAAATAATATTAAGTACTTATTTTAACAATAATTTTATTAATAATACATGACCATTTGTGATAATGTCTTGACATTACTCAATCATGCATGTTATGCGGATGGATACATGAGATATTTTTCTAGACATAAAGGCATTTCTGTTTCCACTTCAGTAGAGCCACAGACATAAGCTAGCATAATATAATAAATTCAACATAATTTGGCAAGCTTAATCACACAATTTAAAGTACTTGGCAATAACATGCAACACTCAACATAAAAGTCTTAAAAGGAGGTCAAACTCTATTGACATATTATCTGGAGTTCCAGAAAATACAGGTCTTTTAAGTTATTAACTTATAAAGCATTTAATTATACCACTGATGAATTATGGTCGATATTAACCATTAGGAATAAGGTGATCACTGGTAAGCTGTTTCTAAAATGATTTTTATAATTAATTGTATAACTTACTTTTCTTTAAACTTCTTTACTTTGTTTTAATAACACTAATTATTAGAAGTAGTGTCAGGGTTTGCCACTATAAGGCATTATGCCACATTAATTCCTCCTTTCTAAATAGCATTTGTGTAACAGGAATAAGTTAGGTTACAATAAGGCTGACATATTCTTGTAGGATAAAAGCCTTTTTTAATAAAGATAGATAATAAAAAAAGGCATTATGTCTGCCAGTTGTAAACCTATAAGGCAATTTGAAATAAATAATAAATTAAAATAATGCTAACTTTGTTGCCAATTCTGGCACTTAATCTCATCAACAACGTTAATTTTAACATTGTTGTTGGTGAGCTCTAGTGGTACATATCTATGTATCCTTAATCACACTATGTAACAGAACCCTTAAGGCCTTGTACTATTAAGTATTCTTGGTAAACTCAGAAAGTCAGGTATCAAACCCACCGTTTGACTAGTGCGGTGAACCACTCCTAACACGAGCATTTTAAGGAATAAAATATAGAGTATAAGTATTTTTTATAGGTCAAATGTAAGACGATTTTACAACGTGGTAGAGCCATGCTGCAGCTATATTAGTAGTATATAGTTGTAGCACGAGTGGGTCGGCTCGACCGGGGGAGGACCACGCTCTCACAGAATACCAGCGTAAAATAGCAGCTTAACACTGCTGTGTTTCATATGGTGAATGTAGAGAACTGGAGACTCTTTTTACTGGAAGAGGCATTCCATCTTAGTCCTCACAGGTGACTATGCATTTGCATTTAGATTCACAAATGAGGATAAATGTAGATGTTTATGGGCCACAGCAATCACTTACCATCAGGTGGACTATGTGATTGTGTGTCTCCCTATCCTATATAAAAAAAAGATGACTTGAAAGATTTACAAATACTCATCTCATTTGCAAATTGGTTGGTGAGCAATACAGTATAGAGCTGACACCCTATAGTGCTCCAGCCCTATTGATCTTGAAATATAGGTTAAATAGTTCATATTCTATATTCATCAGTTGGAGGCAGGCAGTGGCATAGTAAAGCTACAATTATTAGTTCACTATATTAAACTTGAAAATGAAACTCATAAAATAAATCTGCAGGACTATCATTACCCAATATCTTATCTTAGATGCCAGCCCGATGATAGTACGGCCAAATACTCAAACGGTACTCAATTTTAAGATGTTGTTAAATCTTATGATGTCACCGTCACTTTGACTTTAAGTGATAGAGACAGCATGAGACTTAACAGCATCTTAAAATTGAGTAACATTTGAGTAATTCGGCATTAGGCAGTTTGTTGGAACTGTTACTGTGAGTGTGGCAAATATATAGTCGACTTGAGAGCAAGTTTTTATAATGACCTATCATCCCCTACTCCTTGGTAAATAAACATTGTTACCCTGAGATCTAAGATTTAATTTAATTGGATAATTAAAAATAAACAGGTATAATCAGACTAGCATCTCTCTGGTTCAGGTGCATCACTTTAAGGAATAAAATATAGAGTATAAGTATTTTTATAGGTCAAATGTAAGATGATTTTACAACGTGGTAGAGCCATGCTGCGGCTATATTAGTAGTATAGTTGTAGCATGAATGGGTCGGCTCGACCGGGGAAGGACCACGCTCTCACAGAAAACCAGCGTAAAATAGCAGCTTAACGCTGCTGTGTTTCGTATGGTGAGTGTAGAGAACCGGAGACCGTTCTTACTAGCAAAGAGGCATTCCATCTTAGTCCTCACAGGTGGCAACACATCTGCATCTTGAGTCTTTATTGATGATAGATGTAGATGTCTATGGGTCACAGTAGCCACTTACCATCAGGTGGACTGTGTGCTCGTTTGTCTCCCTATCCTATAAAAAAAAATCATTACCGCCCTGCACAAATCCTCTCCTGAACTTAGGGTAGGCCTCCCTCAAAGCTACAAATTACAGTCCTGAGTCACATGCATCCGCGATGCATTTCTTCTATACAATTATTTACATATAAGCTTAAATTGATAAGTACTGTAATAGGTCAGCAAATTAAGTATTGCTTGATAACAAGTTAAATGTCAGGTTAGTTATTGTTAGTCTAAGAAACTCTTAGACCAATTTTACATGAAAATATTATACCAATGATTATTCTGTAAAGAAATCAAATAAGTAATACTTTTAAATACTTGACGTCAGCATACAGCTGATACGCTCATGACATCATTTTTAGGGCAGATTATTTGTAAGTAATTCAATAATTCACATATTCATATCAAAAAATATATGTACGCAATTCGTACATTACTTACTTTTTAATTTTATGACTGCAAAGATGCGCAAAATCTCTATTAGTGGTGAGAATTAATAAATAATAGAAGCCTTACATACCTGAAATTAGTATTTTAGCACCAAGTAAAACAAAAGCAGCCGAAGTCACTTGTTAGCACACCCACTAGGCACCAAAAATACAGAACAACTATATGAAAGTAATGAAAGACTTTCACGTTCACGCTGACAAGCTATCGTTCGATCGACTCTGTAAGGTTAGCAGCTGAAATGCGCAATGTTTTGACTATGCGCATTGGTTATTATTGTGATTGTCATGCGCGTATTGCATTTCAGTTTCGCACACAAAACTTGAGTAATTACAATTCAAAATAAATTGTTTTAACTGCAAAACGTTATACACAGTAATGATTTTAGGATTAAATCGGAACAAAGTTATTAAATCAGAGCTCTGAATTGTGTGTGAAAATTAAAAATTGTTGAATAAGGAATAAGAAGTGTCAGTCAGTGTGCAGTATTCGATCTATCTATGGTATGGCGGCATCTATTGTCGAACAGCAAAAGTCTTTAGTCATTACTGCTACTCAAAGAGTATTTACGATAACATTAATTGTAAATAGTACAGCTTTTTAACAATAGATGACAGAACTTAAGTAAATAAATCTTTTTTATTAATATTATAAAGACTACATAATATTTATTTCAGTAATCAAAACCTACTATAATTGTGTTTTTTATTTATAATATTTATTATAATTACTAATAATGATTACTTATTATGTTACAGTTAAAACTCTTTCCTGGACTTAACCCTTAAATTGTCACCCCTAGATCCTAGCAACACTGATGACGTTACTAGATATACGATAAATATATTAATAGCAAGGATTTATGTGCTAATTAAGTGCTGCAGATCGATTATCGAAACCCGATACAGATTACGATATTATTCTGGGAATTATGGGGTCCACGACCACCATTACCTTACTATAATGTATGAACAGTATTTTTTGTTCTTTATCAGTTCCTAAAAATTAAGTGGTAATTAGGTGCTGAAAGATTATTGAGGTCGCATATACATATAATGCCGTCAAAAGAGAGATAAAAATATCTTATTATATAACTGCTGGCCGGTAAGGTCACATAATGCTAATTACGATTTGCAGCTGCGCTGCAAGCACTCAAATCGCTTTATTGTAACAAAAATAATTTGACGATTTGTGCTATCAAATTGTGCAGAAACTATAATAGAAGGAGTATAGTGCCTGTATATTAATCCCGACATTTCTTTATCGTATATTATACATAGTAAAGTGAAAAGTAAAGTTAAATCTTATATACGTCCCATTGCTAAGCACAGACACAGGCACCGTCTCATGTTTAGAGGGATTTAGGGCAAGAAAGTAACGAGAGAAGGCACGCAGTGGACCACGTTGCCCTAATGCCTGTTGACGCAGTTCACTTGTCTTCGAAATGTTTTTGTAATTTCTAAGACATGCGCGTTTCCTCCCAATATTTTCCTTCTCCGCCGAGCACGTGTTCAATCAGCACTTAAAATTGCAATTAACAATTTCATTACTGCCGGCGGGAAACTTTACAGGGAAATTTGCATCGATCGCTTAGCCACTTAACTACCACGGCTTAATATTTTATATGCGTACGTAAATATATACATATAGCTAAGTATATGCATATAAAAGAAATTCAATATACTTAAGTATTTATCAGTCTTCAACAGCTTGATAACAAACTACGACGTGGAAAGTGTTATCTCCGCCGTTATTACGTACGTAGCGAGCCGTTGAAAGCTTTGAGTAACGATGAATTAGTATCTTGAGTACTACAAGTACTGCGATAAGTAAAAGGTTACTGACTTTAATATCACTAGAATGTGAAGAACATTTATTCTTTTGTTCGAGTAAATCTCTTACAAAAAAATATTTTTTTTGTAAGAGGCGACAGAGGGACGTAAATGAGGAGATGGGCAGCAGGATGTTCCTGATTACAACTTGATTAAAACTGCGGTTGTAAGCCCGGTTGGCAATTTTTTTTTTATAGGATAAGGGTGACAAACGAGCACACAGTCCACCTGATGGTAAGTGGTTGCTGCGGCCCATAGACATCTACATCTATCCTCTGTTACAAATCAAAATGTAGATGCGTTGTCACCCGTGAGGACTAAGATGGAATGCCTCATAGAAATGTGGCAAACGGCAAATAAGGCCTATGTTCAACAGTAGACTTTTAATATGATGTATGTAATGGATGGATGAATGGTTACATGTACCGGAAAATTATGTCCATTAGATTTCAAAATTGTTGTAATAGGTACTGATCATAGTGTCTTAACTCAGCATGAAAATATATTTTTTAGCGGTCCGCCCGGCTTTGCAGGGGTGATTTCTGGATCTTGACAAAAGCGCCACCTACTAGAGACAATTGCGAATCTAAGCCATCCAGGGACGGACTCAAATACACCATGAAGCAAATACAAAGAGAAGACGGCATAAGCAACTGTGCACTGTGATTCTAAGTAGCTCCTGACATCATCACAGTGGGCGTGGCTTTAGTTAGTATACTGTCAGCATTCGTCCTGTGCGCATATGTATGGAAAATCGCGAATCGAAGTATTTTCGTAGTATTAAGATGAAATCTAATTACAACACCTCCTCTTTGTATTTGCTTCATGAAATACACACAAAAATAATCTTCAAAATCGGACAAACACACGTACAGAAGAATTTATATATATATATATATATATATATATATATATATATATATATATATATATATATATATATATATATATATATATATATAAGTATATATATATATATATTTATGCGCGTGGTATCTGGTACAGTCACGTAGTAGTTCGCTATAACTTTATTAAAGCTGCAGCGCGAATAGGACGATATGACCGGAAAAAAAAAAAAAAAATAAAAAAACCAATCTTTTCACTTGTAGCATTCTGTCTTAGTACTCAGGGCGACAACGCAATCCGCGGTTTGATTGTTAATAGAGGGTAGATATTAGATGTCTATAGGCCACAGCATCCACTTAGCATCAGGTGGGCTGTGTGCTTAACTGCCGGATCCAGGATTTCAATTCTTTAGAGATTATTGTCGCTGTGTAGTACTTTTATCTGATAATAATAGTTACAGCAACAAATCGCCCACTGGTGGGCTGATTTCTAAGGGGGCTATAGAGCCATTAGTCTCCCGCGCTGTTCCAGTGTGTGTTGGCGGATTATACAACATGACCTCGACAGTGGCGTAGCTAGGCGTGGGCGGATTGGGCCTTCGCCCACGGCTTCGCACTTAAAGTGGCTCGCGAGGCCCCCAGATTTTACCACAGATGACTAATTAATTTGATCACTTATACGTTCGAAAAAGAACGTCACAATTTTAAAAGCATGTTTGTTTGGAGCCTCGCAAGAAGCCCCTCTTAAGTGCAACTGCGAGGCCGTTGTAACTACCCTCAAAGATCGCGACCGTTAGATTGACGGAATATGAGACTTGTCGGGAATTAATAGACTATGAGTCGGTATGTCGTGTCAAAGCATGTATGGTAGGATAGATCTATTGGGTAGATCTTGGGAACGAAAGAAAAGGGGCCTCGCTGATGCGACTTCGCCCACGTATATATTACTACACCTCTGCCGCGTAATATTATATACTAGCTGATCCCCGCGACTTTGCTCGCGTGTTAGGGTTTTTATATTTTTGCGCGGAACCCTAATTATTTTTCTAAAATAAAAGTAGCCTAAATTACTCCTTATGAAATCAGCTATCTGCCAGTGAAAGTCCCGTCAAAATCGGTCCAGCCGTTTCGGAGATTCGCCGGAACAAACAGACAGACAGACAAAAATTTTAAAAATTATATTTTAGTTACTCGTATAAGTACCGTATTTACTTTCATATGCATTTAGTAAAAATTGTAATTTTGACATTACAAACAGATACTTCAATTTTATTTAAATTTGTATAGATTTGCATATCTGAGAATATGCCATGATTCACTAAGGTGAAAGAATACATTATGTTGTTTTATGATTAGTGGTGGCACGTCGTAAATCAGCACTTAAAATCGCAATAAAAAATTTCTTTGGTGCCAACGGGGATGCCAGCACTTAGACCTGACCTATTTATTTTTATTTTGTATGTTATTTTATTTTATAGAATAAGGGCGACAAGCGAGCACACAGTCCACCAAATGGTAAGAGGTAGCTGTGGCTTATGGACATCTACATCTATCCTTGATTCAGACGCGTTGTCACCCCTGAAGACTAAGATGAAATGCCTCGTCTCCAGTAAAAAGGGTCTCCGGTTCTCTATACTCACCATACGCGAAACACAGCAGAATTAAGGTGCTATTTCACGCTGGTATTTTGTGAGAGCGTGGTCTTTCCCCAGTCGAGCCGACCTATTCGTGCCACAACTAAAATAAAACTGCAGCTCTACCACGTATAAAGACACCACAGCTACCACGGCTACCGAGGATGACATGTTATCAACTGAGTATAAATTTAAATAAAGTTCGAATCTCATCATAACAAAGGCTTAAACATAGCTTTGATATAGAATGTATTACTCTGTGGCGAATTTAATAATTAAAAATTAAATAAATAATTTTTATATTTTTAGGTACCTATTGTTCTTGTTCTGCATTAGACCCTAGTAGTGTACGAATAAAGAAAAATGTTCCATTGGATAGCATATATTTTTGTTACTTATACTTAAATCGGAGACGTGTTAAACGCTACATTACATACTGCTACGGAATGTCACAACTTGAAGCTATTATTTATTCTGTGCTTGAAGTTGGAGATATTCGAAATGGATGCACACGCACACCGACGTTGGAACATAACACAATGCGTTGTTTTTATTTATAAAACTAAAATAACAAACGTACAGTCCACCTGTTGGTAAGTGACTGCTGTAGTCGATGGACACCTACAGCCAACTTCATACAAACAAGCCGACAGATGCGTTGTCACCTCTGAGAATTAAGATGGTATGCCTTACAGACTGTAATTATACTGACTCTCTTTACACTTCAAACCAGTTCCTGTGTCGAATAGCAGTGCTTACTCTGCTATTTGACACCGGTGTCAAATAGCAGAGTAAGCACTGCTATTTGACGAGCGAAATTGGTAAGGGATGGAACCTATCCAGACGGAATCCTAAGACGGACAGAAAAGGAGCCCTGCCAGCTAACCACCTCGTGTGTTAGTGTGTATCTATATCTTGATCACAATTTCATATATTATGGTCACCTTAAGCTTTGCCGCCATATAAAATCAAAACTAGGAGGAGGACAGAGACTAAAACACAAAGTCGTATACTGTAACTAATATATTAAGAAAAAAAAGAGCAAACAAGCTTTGGCAATAATTAGGAACACTTTGAAAAATTAACTTGAATATAATTAACTATACTACCCAATACTAAAATCGACTAAAATAATTACTATAAAGTCAACTGTCAAAATGGCGTCGATAAAGCAGCACCTTTTTGACCCTTTATTATTTAGTTGACTGATGAAAAATTATCATATCATAGAACCATCCATGCAAACAAGGCTGTAGTTTTTGAATTACGAGAAAGTGACCATATTAACCTGATGACCATATTATCCCCATGCACTTATTCAAGAACTATAGTTTGTGGTTCTAAATAAATAGAGGCAATAAATGTATGTAGTCTTCAAATATTCTTGAAATATTTTAATATTATTTGTGTGCCGGTTAGTTTTCTTCCAGTGTTTTTCTTTATTGGAAAGAGATTCGAACTAAGGTTTACTAGGTACGAACTACGAAATTTAAGGTGACTGTTCTTTCACCATGTAATTACTATGGCTCTGCTGTTTGTGTAATTTCTATTATAACGAGTAAATCCGTTATAAAAGCATTAGTCGTACCTTTGATTGTATCATCCACTCCATAGATTTAAGGACTGTCGTTAATTAATTAGTTGAAGATAAGATACTATCTCATATGATGTTATCAATAATTATCATATAAGATACTATTTTATATGATGCTATCTTAAAAAATAATACAAGATATTATCTTCGAGGTAGGGGTCTATGTCTCTGGGCATATATCTTTAAGTTCAAGATCTTACTCTTTTATAGCAGTAAGTTGTAGTAATGATTTTATTTTATTCAGTGTAATTATGAACTAAAGATAGCTTAGGGGAAAAACCACAAACGCTTAACTTCACTGCACGCGAGCTACCCGCGTATAGGGTTACCAGATGACAGGAATTTTCCTGACATGTTTATTAAACAGTTTACATACAAAAAATAATAATATATAAATCAATCTCGAAGTTAAATTATTTCATTCATCTGATCTGGATCGTACTTTTTATTGCGCATATGTCAAGCACATGCGCGAGTTTTTACAATGTGATATATATTTTATTAGGAAGCTGGTTTCTATACATGGTAGAGCCATGCTGCAGCTATATTAGTAGTATAGTTGTAGCACGGGAAAGGACTACACTCTCACATAATACCAGGGTAAAATAGCAGCCTAACACTGCTGTGTTTCGTATGGTGAGTGTAGAGAACCATAGACCCTTTTTACTGGAAAAGAGGCATTCCATCTTAGTCCTCAAGCTCTCCTCAAGATTTGCGTCAATGTCAGGAAATTTATTGAAAAGTCAGGTATATTGTTAGGAAAACTCATTTTGGGATCTGGTAACCCTACCCGCGTACAATCACCGCTGTCACCGATGATATTGTTAATTGCATTTTAAAGTGCTGATATACCCGTCACGTGCTCGGCGGTGAAGGAAAATATTATAAGGAAACCTACATGTCTAGAAATAAAAAGATCTTGCACTTGTGCGAAGATTATAGGCATAATACATCATACACTCAGCGTCACAAAAATCGCACCTCTCTGAGTTTGCGCGAAAAATGGCTGTAATGGCTAGAAACGAATTATATTTATATAAATATTGGTATGTTTGAAATGGGTATTTGAATAGCTTTACATTATTAACAAAAAAATCATGAAATCATTAAAACATTTATCATTATAGAGCGTCAAAAATAAACACTGTCAAATGCTCGTTAGTAAGGACGCTAGTTACACCACCTAAAAAGGGTATAAAAGGGTCGATCTGGATGAAATATGGGTCAGCATTCCGCCTGTGACACCGCTCTCGAGCGGTCGTTCAGGTAGTCCGCGCAGCCGTCCCCGTACGGTAGTGCTCTCTCGCTCTCGCGCCTCCGCTGTCCTGCTCGCGCTGTACAGCGTCGACGCCTTGGTGAGTCATTTCTGCTATCAGTTCTTGCCCCCCTGTCCTCGGGCGGGGAGGTTTGACTGACCTCCGCTTGTTACCTGTTATATTTTTTTGTTATTTTTGTTAACTATTTCTATTTTTGTTTTCGTTATTTATTTGTATAACGTGTACGTGTATACTGTTTCTAGGGAGTTACTTGCTCTTTTCAGAGCAAGGCCCTGCTCTTTTAAGAGTAAGGGCATTACTCCTTGAATAAAGAACGTCCCGTTCTTCTGAGAACGGTGATCCCGCCCTTACTGCTTAGGTTCAGAACGTCTCTGTTCTTTTCAGAACAGCATCCCCCCAGTCCCATTCGTTTCTCAGCATCATGTCCAAACAAGACCTTATAGGGTCCATCGTGTCAGGCCTTAATAGGCTGGATAATTCGGCTCTCGCCGCAATCGTGGCAACTATTGCCTCATATGCCCCTCAGGCAACTCAACCGCCGCCCGTTATAGCGGCCTACCTAGAGTCCAAGAACTCTTTCGCCCCTCTAGACATGGAGTACGCATGCTCCGAGTCTGAGTCCACTGCATCGGCCCCCCGGAAGAGGCCCGCCACCTATTCTGGCACCGATTCATCGGAGTCCTGTGACTCCGACGGAACCGGTGACTCATCCTTCACGACTGTCTCCTCAAAACGCGGCGGTAAACGCACCGCGAAAAACCGCACACCTCCCGTCTCAGCGGCCCCTGCCGCTCCTTCAACCTCCGCAGCCCCCGTTGCTGCCTCAAACCCCGCAGCTCCCGCTGCCGTCTCTGCCCCCGCAGCCCCCACTGCTGCTACGGCTCCCCTAATGTCAATGGACATCGCCCCACCATCAAAGCCAGCTTCCCGCTGTGTCCCAATCCTTGCAAAGAAGCAAGTCCCGCCCCCTGTCTTCCTAAGAGACAAGGCATTATTCATCAAGCTGTCGAAATCCTTATACGACGCAGGCATTAAATATGACCATGCGATTAACCTCGGGGAGACTATTAAAATCATTCCCAACTCGATCGATGCCTTCCGTAGTATCACCAGGCTATTCACAGCCGAAAAAGTCTCCTACCATACTTACGCTCTTCCGGAAGAGCGTAAAGTCAGGGCCGTCATCCGCGGCGTGCCATTCGAATTTTCCAACGAGGAAATCCTTGAGGACTTTAAGTCCCAAGGTTTCCCTGTAGAAGCCGTGCACAAGATGCACAGTAGAACGGGCCAGAGGTTCAACCTGGTCCTAGTCATCTTAACCTCTAGTGAAGGTTGAGCCCCCACATAGGCGCGGGTTCCCGGCGCAGTGCCACCGCTGCCAGCTATATGGTCATGCGGCGGCCAACTGCTCTGCCCCACCCAGGTGCGTTAAGTGCCTTGAACCCCATAACACTAAAGATTGTCCTCGGCCCGAAGACGCCGAATCCCCACCCGCGTGCGTCCTGTGTAAGCAAACAGGCCACCCGGCTAACTACAGAGGCTGCCCTTGCGCACCTCATCCTCGCCCCAGTAGGCAAGCTCCACCGCCGGTCAATGACCGCTCATTCCCGGCTCTTTACCAACGGCCCCGTCAGGGCCTTTCTCAGCCCATCCAGGGCTTCTATCGACCCCCTCAGGGTCCCCCTAGGCCCCCTCAGGGCATTATTCGGCCCCCTCCGGGCTTCTCTAAGCCTATGCAGCCTCCAGTCTTTCCCTGGGGCCCGAAAAAGGCAGACCCACCGCGGACAAACTCCGCCCCACAACAATCACAGCCCTCAATGGCTGATGACCTAAAAACGGTGTATTCCGCTATTAGGAACATCGATGTTGGGGAAATCGCTGTGTTAGCACGCAAATTGCGCGCTGCGAGGTCCCCTCAGGACCGTCTCCTCGCTCTTGCAGAGCATCATAATCTTTTGTGCTCGTTGTAAGTTAAGTTAACTTCATTAACTTAACTTCACGATGACAGAGCAGTTTGCTCTACCAAAATCCCACGGTCGTATCAAACCTAAGGGTTTATCGCTTGTATCGTTTAATATTCGCGGTTTGCGAAATAACCTCCCAGAACTTAAGCTCTTTCTTCGAAGTCGTGAAGCCGATTTCCTCCTCCTACAGGAAACTAACCTCAAAACTAAGGACACTAAAGGCCTTTCTATTAAAGACTTTTCTCTTCTTCGTAATGACAGGATCGACCGCCAAGGTGGCGGTACGGCCATTTATTACAAGAAGACACTCCATTGCTCTCCCATTTCTGCTCCGCAGCTTACCAATATGGAAGCCACGGTATGCAGGCTAGCTATGACTGGACATCAGTCCATTCTCATAGCCTCCTGCTACATCCCCGCGGGAACCCTTCCCCTCAAAAGAGATTTTGAGGCTATTTTATCTTTAGGTAACCCAGTCATTATGTTTGGAGATTTTAACTCCAAGCATACTGAATGGACATGCCGTACTACCACCCGTAGTGGCAAGTTACTGCTCGATATCACGCAGTCTCTTGATATTACCGTCCACAGTCCTCTCGGTGTTACTCACTTTCCCGATAACACCGACTATGCCCCCGATGTACTAGATTTTGCGTTACTCAAAGGAGTTTCTCTCAACCTTAGGGCAATCGAGACACTAGACGATCTAGGATCCGACCACCGACCGGTCTCTCTCATTCTTGGCTATCAGCCACCACTCCCAACACCCTCTACTAAAACCTTCACAAATTGGAAGGGCTTCAAGGAGTCCCTAGCGAAAAATCTGGACTCACAGAACTCTCCCATCTCCCTATCGTCTGACTTAGACAGTCCCGAAAAAATCGACACCGCGGTCGATTCACTCTCCACCCTTATTAAAACCTCCCTTAAGGAGAATGAAAAGGAAGTCCCGGTTGCTAAGAATAGTGGGCTTCCCCTACATATTAGCAACATATTAAAAGCCAAGAAAGCTGCTTTCCGGAGAGCAGCAAAATATCCCACGCCCGAATATAGGCGCACGGCCAATCGTCTTCAACGAGAACTCCGTTTCCGCCTCTCTGAATTTCGAGACCTCGAAAAGAGTAAACTCATGGAGAATATATCTCCCTCTCATACAGCGTACTATCAGATGGCTAGAGCCCTCCGTATAGACGCTATAACCCACAATCCCCCTCTCTCCCGCCCCGACGGTTCGGTTGCCTTCGAGGACGAGGAAAAGGCTGAGTGCTTTGCAGACAGTATTGCCGCTCAATGCTCTCTTAGCTCTCAACCCGTCGACCCTTCACACGTCCAGGCAGTGGAGGATGAGGTCCGCCGCCGGAACTCACCCCCTACGGCCTCCGAACCTATCTCTGTGTCCAATGATGAGATTTCATCCCTCATTAAAGGACTTAAACCTAAAAAGGCTCCGGGCGCGGATGGCATATCCAACCAAGCCCTTAAAAACTTTAAGTTAGTGTTAACCCTTTTATCTATTATCTTCAACGCCTGCTTCAACCTTAGTTACTTTCCCACTACGTGGAAAGAGGCAACTGTGATTGGTATTCCCAAGCCAGGCAAGCCTCTCAACCTCCCCTCCAGTCATCGCCCCATTAGCCTCCTCAAGGCCATGGGCAAGCTCTTTGAAAGAGTCATCCAAAATCGCATGAGGCGCCATCTGTTTCCCACAGACGGTGACCCTCTTATCATTCCCCATCAATTCGGTTTCCGAGAGAAACACTCCTGCCCCCAACAAGTTCACCGTATTGTGGAATATATCCTCAGCGGTTTTTATCCCCGCCGTCATAAGACTATTGCGGTCTTTTTCGACATCGCCAAAGCCTTCGATAGAGTCTGGCATACAGGCCTTATCTACAAACTATACAAAATAGGTCTCCCCGATCGTCTAGTACGTCTCGTGGCCTCTTATCTTAATCATCGTACCTTTCGTTTTAGACACGAAGGCACGCTATCTTCACAGCGCCCCATCAAAGCTGGTGTCCCTCAGGGCTCAGTTCTTGCTCCTCTGCTGTACATACTGTTCACCAACGACATTCCCATTCCGCCGAAAGGTGTTCAGCTCTCCCTCTTCGCAGACGACACTGCTCTCTACTGTAAAGGTATCTCGCTACCTTTCATACGGAACAAGGTCCAAAAGTCAGTTGATGACCTAGGAGCTTGGTTCAAAAAATGGCGCATCGATGTGAACCCGGAGAAGAGCTCCGCCGTTCACTTCGATTATAAACGACGCCGTCTCAAAAACACTCCACCAATACGTATGCTAGGGACCCCCGTCCCCTGGCATACGTCTGCCAAATATTTAGGTGTCACTCTAGACACAGGGCTAACTTTCAGGCCCAACGTCAAAAGAGTAATCCGTCACGCACGTTTTTACCTGAATAGGCTCAACAGTATGTTGGGCCGACACAGTAAAATGTCCCTCAGAAACAAGCGTACCCTTTATAAGGTCTGTATACGACCAGTCATGTCCTACGCGGGCCCCATTTTCGCCCACTCTAACCCTAAAATTATTAATGAACTCCAAGTAGTTCAAAACCTTTTCTGTCGTCGAGCTGCGAACGCACCTTGGTACGTCCGCAATGCCGACCTTCATCGGGACCTAGAGCTCCCTACAATTCAACAATTCCTTAAAAAACTCTCTGAGAACTTCTTCAAAGCCTCAGAGTCGCATTCCAATCATTTTATTCGTGAGGCTGCTAATTATGCAGCCCCACTCCCCTCCCGCTATAGCGTCCGCAGGCCGAGGAACTCCCTCTCGGACCCGCCTAATAAACTTTCAAACGACCTGAACTGCCTCCTGGCGGCTCAGGCCAACTCTAATTAAGTTATTCATAATTAATTTGCCTTCGTAGGCACTCCCTCAGCGGCTAATAGCCGCCTGCGCCCTCTTTTCCCAAAAGAGGGTCGCTTCCGAAACGGCATAAGAAGCTTTAAACAGCTAGTTGCCAGTCCCCAAAGGCGGTTTTAGTGGGTATCACTTAGGTTCCCCAGTAGGTAGTCACAGTGAGTCCCACATAACTACGATAGACCGGCTGTCGTGGTATGCGTAATGCATTTCCGCCTCCCTCCGGGGTAGCCCTTTTCCAATTGCTTCGGGCGCAAAAAAAAAAAAAAAATATGGGTCAGTCGTAATTTAGACTTTGCAGTGAACACACGTGAACAAGTAAGCCAAGTAAGAACAAGTAAAGATGGACACCAGCTCTGTAGAAGCCGCTCAAGTGATTGCCCTATTGCAGTCGGGGATGCGGCAGTGTGACGTTGCTCGACAGTTGAACCTGTCGAGCAACGGGTTTTCGAGTACGGTTTACGAGTTCGACGGGTGTTCCAACGTTTTCAGCAGACTGGTGGTTATGTTAGAAAACTGGGATCTGGAAGAAAACGGTGCACATCAGAAAGAGATGACCGTTTCATCGTTACGACATCTTTACGAAACCGTTTTACAAATGCTGTTGAGTTGCAACAACAGCTTCGATCATCTCTGAGAACATCTGTGAGTGTTTCTACGATAAGAAGAAGGTTACACGAAAAGAGTTTAACAGCCCATAGACCTGCTAAAGGTCCAAAACTTACTGCACAGCATCGCAGAGATCGCCTAGAGTTTGCTCGCAATCATTGCGAGTGGACTCTAGAACAGTGGCGGACCGTACTCTTCTCTGATGAGACGAGGGTCTGTCTCTTCTGCAATGACAGACGTAGAAAGGTCTACAGAAGACAGGGGGAGAGGTTCACACAACCCTGCTTCGAAGAATCCGTCGAATACGGGGGTGGCTCGTGTATGTTTTGGGGCGGCATTTCCGTCGACGGGAAAACGGAACTTGTGTGCGTTTCCCGAACTCGGGGTGGCCGTGGGCAAGGGTCATTAAATGCTGGTCGGTACATTACTGAAATCCTGGAGGAACATGTGGTCCCGTATGCTGGTTATGTCGGTGATGGATTCATGTTAATGCATGATAATGCTCGTTGCCACACCGCGGCTATTGTACGGGATTATTTACAGGAGGTCGATATCCCTTTTATGCATTGGCCAGCACGAAGTCTAGACCTTAACCCAATAGAACATCTCTGGGATGACCTAAAACGGCGCGTGCGAGCTCGAGATC